GTGTTGTTGGAGTGCTGTCCAACAGAAGAAATAGGTATTTTGAAGTCCTAATTTCATTTTTCAGTATTCTTACACTGTAATACATGAAAATTGAAAATCTGTAATAGTGCCTCAGAAAAGCTTTTTCAGGGATATATAGCTAAGCAAGCACAGGCAAAATTGGTAAGAAAACACCATGGAAATACTTAGCTCTTAACAGGCAGCCAGTTAGAGAGCAAGGGAGGCCTGAAAAGAACAAGAGGCCCTGTCTATTTCCTTTCCATCTTCTAGGGGAATCTCCTTGTTTATACCAAACCGTCTCAAGACAGCTGCAGATAGTGCAAGCAGCCCTGCACCTCTGTGAGCAGCAGTTACCACCCGTTATGAACTTCTTCCCATGTCCAAGCAGAGCAGCGTGCTGTGAAAGGTTGCTGTGAAAGCCCTGCGTAGGACCCCTTCTTCCTCTCTTCATGGGTAGAAGAATGGAACAGTGGAAGCTGATGCGTTTGATGCTTAATCTGGTTGAGCAGCATGGATTGCCACACCTCCTCCTGTTGTCTTTTGAGGTGTTTGGGGTGTTTGTCATACACTGACTTGGTCTTGGGTCTGCTCAGGGGAGTTGGCTCCTGGTGGTATAACACTGAATGCTCCTGCTGTGACAGCTGTAACTGATGCGCTTGAAACATTTTTCGGGTGGCCACAAAAATATGTAAGTCTATAAGTTTGGTACTTTGGGAATGTGGTTACAGCTGGTAGAGCAAGGGTTAGCCGGCAAAGTGAAGATACAAAGGGCTGTGCTAGCAGCCTGGCTTAAGCCTGCTGGGAAAATGAGGTGTTAAATACCCAATGTGGCACAGCGAACACCATCCAGCTTCTAGAGTGAAGACAGGGGACTCTGCAGAAAACCCAGGCAATAAACAGGGAACCGTGGGAGGACTGTGTGTGGAGAAGATGTAGAACCACAACACAAACTGGTTATGTACATATACAAGCAGCAGTGGACACAAGTATGTACCTTCAGCTACAGCAAAGCACACAAGTCCAGGCTGTCTTCACCTCAAGAAAATGGCACGGAAAATTTTGGTGTGGATGAAAAAGTGGCAGCAAGCTTCGATCATTAGCATCTGTTATCACATGCAGAGCCTTTGGCTTTGGGAACATTTTTTTTTTCTTATTAAAAATAGATGCAGTTTCACTTTAACTTTTATTTTAGGTTACCTTTTATATCAAAATCTGTAAGATGAGGTAACTAAAGTGCTCATCTGTTAAACACTTCTTTCTTTTGAAGTAGTATTTTAGAAAGGTTTGTGAGGGTAGGAGTGTGTTGATAATCTTTTTTTTTAAAATGAGAGTTGGATCTTTTTTGTAAAGAACTACTACTTTTTTAAAGATCTGTAAGTAGGTTTTATATTTGTGTATTTTGTATATTTGTGTATATTGTATACTGTAAGTAAGTATTTTCTGGTTAAATACTGAGATCTAAGAATCTAAGGTTTATGAATCAAAATGGAATACTATTGAATAGCAGAAATTATGTTAAGCTTGAATTAAAAGATCCCCAGAAGTGTAGGCACTGTTATTCAGTGCTTCTCTTTCTTTAGTACCCCTCCTACTTTGCAAAGGGACTGGCAAAATCATACGAAATTGAAAATTTACTGCTTTAATACGTTCCAGAATTTGGTGACAGCTTATGAATTCTTATGTAGGCATTTTGGTTCATATGATCAGCTAATCATATGATGTTTACATCCAATATAAACATTTTTTAAACAGAATTCACAGCAAACAAAGCTTTTTCTTTTTTTCTTTTTTTTTCTTATCTCTGAAGTTGCATGGAGACCGTTATGAACGTAGTGAATTTGACATTTTGACCAAATACCGAAATTGCTACAAAGGTATAAAATATGTTAAGTGCCAGAATGTAAGAACATTGGGGGTACTTTTCAGAGCTGGTAGGACTGTCCTGACTCACTTCTTTATCACAGTTTCCTTTGGTGTCATGCTGGTACTGAGTGGTTCAGCAACATGTTGTGCAGGTGCTCTGCCACAGTTTCCTTGCTTCTCCATTAGTGTGCTGTCAGGAAGAGGTAAAATAGCTTTGCTTAGAGATTAGCCTGTTCTTCACAGCTTTTTCGGATGGATAGGAAGGAGAGCTGAGTTAGAGCACTGATAACCAGGTGACAGCCAGACAGCCCTCTTGAACAAACTATGCCTGGTTCAGGTGTCGACCCTGTAAGGAGCATATTTCCCTGTGCTCCTTAGCTCCCTGAGCTTGACTTCTGTGTTTCTAAAACACTGGTGCTAGAACCAGCACGTATCCTTGAGGTCCATTTGCCTTTTGTACCGAAGGAACAGGCCAGAGAGAGAGAGGACAACCTCTTGCACAGCCCTATTTTTATTGTATGTTCTGATAAGTGGAGAGACAACCTGGGAAAAACTTTCATCAGTAATCTCCAGCAAAATTTTGTCCCATTTTCAGTGGTGTGTGCTTTTTGCAGTGTCCATTTCTTTCTGACTAGAGCACTGGAAATACTCTTCCAGTAAGACCATCCAGGTGTCCATGCTGCTGGGGCTCCAGGAAGTGATTTTTTGTGGCTGCTATTAAAGCAACAACTATTTACATCTCTTTTCTAGTTTTAATGTTCTTAAATCACGTGTTGCCCGTTACTGGATAATATTGAACATTTTTGAGTGCAAGGACTCAGTTCATTTTGCTCTCCGGCATGTACATCAGAACATTATGTTCACATCTAGGGATACTGAGTAGGATACACAAAAGGAAAAAGAGATGAATAGACAGAAAAATAGATCAATATGTAATGGTTGTGTGGGACAGACTGAAGAATAATGTATAAAATCTCCTTATTAAAGAGAAAATACTTACTCAGTATTTTCTTTTGTGCCAGTGCATACTCATGGTGGGGAAAAAATCAATTCTTTTTCTGACCTGGGCCATCTAGTTGCTTTCTGTTACAAATCTGTGACTCTATCTGCTTATCAAGTTTAGGAGCCTATTAAATTGTTTCAAACACCTTATTTACTTAACCAAGAATCACTGTTAAGATTTGAACTGCTTCTAAAGCTTCCATTCAGTTTCAGGAAAAGCAGGTCTTTATTGTGAAAGTGGGTAGTTTTATCCAATTCTTGTGCACCTGGGGCACCTCTTGACTAAGCTTCATCATATCACCAGTTCCAAGGCTGAATCTAACTGCTGTGAGATGCTGTCTTCACAACGCACAACAACAAAGTTTTGGGGGAAGGTAGAAGGAGTTGCTGTCTGAGGAAGAGAGATTTGGACAGGTTGGATCGCTGGGCCAAGGCCAGTCACATGAGTTTCAATAAGGCCAAATTCCGGGTCCTGCCCCTTGGCCACAACAACCCCCAACAGCGCTACAGGCTTGGGGAGGAGTGTCTGGAGAGCTGCCACGCAGACAGGGACCTGGGGGTGTTAATAGATGGCCAGCTGAACATGAGCCAGCAGTGTGCCCAGGTGACCCAAGAAGGCCAACAGCATCCTGGCCAGTATTAGGAATAGTGTGGCCAGTAGGATCAGGGAAATGATTGTTGACCCCGCACTCGGCACTGGTGAGGCCACACCTCGAGTGCTGTGTGCAGTTCTGGGCTCCACAGTACAGGAAGGACATCGAGGTGCTGGAGAAGGTACAGAGAAGGGCAACCAGAATGATGGGGGGACTAGAGGGTAAGTCTTATGGAGAGAGGCTGAGGGAGCTGGGGCTGTTCAGCCTGGAGAAGAGGAGGCTGAAGGGAGACCTCATCACTCTCTACAACTACCTGACAGGCAGCTGTAGTGAGACGGGTGTTGGCCTCTTCTCCCTAGTGAATAGTGATAGGACAAGAGGGAACGGGTTCAAGTTGCACCAGAGGAAGTTTAAATTGGATATTAGGAAAAACTTCTTCACCAAAAGGGTGGTGAAGAATTGGAATGGATTGCCAAAGGAGGTGGTGGAGTCACTGTCCCTGGATATGTTTAAAAACCGGATGGATGTGGCACTGCAGGAGATGGTTTAGTGTTAGGGTGGTGTAGGGCTGTAGGTGTAGGGCTGTAGGTTGGATTTGGTGACCTTAAGGTCCTTTCCAACCTTGATGTTTCTGTGATTCTATGATTCTATGAAGCCTGCCAAAAAGGGACATGATAATGTTGAACCTTTAGCACATCAGTCTTACCTTTCTGTTTGTGGGCTGAGCCAGCCATGGCTTTTGATGGTGCGCTGACAAACTCCTGGGCAGGAGTCACCTCTTAGTGTAGGAATTTTGCCTGTCAGTTTCCCCTTGCATGTGACAAAACCTCCATAACCTGTGGCAAGCTCAGTCTTCGAAGTCTCCTTGAATAAACAAGATTCATCCTCCACTGTTATCTTCATGGTAGCAACCATAGACAGTCTTCTGAAAAGGAAGCATGAGCTGTTGCCAGTTCTCATTTATAGTTGTTGTTTCTGGACTATTTCCCATGTCTTGTTTTAATTCTCCAAAAAGTTTTGAAGCAAGTATCCCTTGGACTGTAAGAATCACTAAACTTCTGGAAAAAAATACTGCAGAGTGCTGAGTAGATAACAAAAATATATTTGTTCTTCCTCAAACCTGTTTATGCTGACAGGCTGACTGAAACAAAGTTCCTTTCCTTATTTTAAAAATAATTATGAATGATTGCAAAAGTCAATACATTTTAAATGTTAACTGTGAACTTGAACTAACAATACTTATAAACACTGTACCGGATCTGCTAACTGCTTCTTTGTTAGGTAGATCTTCTTCCTTGAAGCTGTTGGTGTTATTCCATGCCGGTATATCTGCATGTTTATACATGATGGGAGGGAAGCGGTGTGGCTGGGTGGCAGACATAGTTATGGTGTACCTTTATGTATAATGAAAGAGCTCATCTCCTTCTCTCCTCTATTGCAGTTTCACATCCTTTAATATCCCTCTATTTCTTGAAGATGAAGAAAATGATTGCATGCTTTTTTTTGCTGTTTGGACATACCCTGCTTTCCACTCTCTGTGTTATGGCCAAAGATCTCCCTGGAGGACATTTCATCCGAAGAAGGGATGTTAATTCACAATCTCTACTAGGTAAGTTACAAAAAAAATAAACAAAAACCCCTCAAACCCCACCACCAAAAGCCACATCATATAACAAATGATAAAAGGCATGAACCAGCCGGCCAAACCGTGCTGAGTTAGTGTATGATAAAAAGGAGACTGTCATTTGCAGACAGGAATATAAGAAGGTTTGTTGAACAGTTAGCAACTGGTGAAACAAGGTGATTACTTTTGGGGGTATTAGTTCTGTTTTACATAAGTGGTATGAAATAAATATTTCTACAGGAGAGTTTCTTGGAAAAACACTTTATTTTCACTGTTTAGAGAAAATGCATATTGGTCCATGGAAGTTCTGTCAAAACTGCCTTTTATCATGCCAGCAAATTTTATCTATCCATGTGTATGTGCTGCGCGTAAGGAGGATTGAAGTCAGTGGCTACTGAAATGGACTTGGCCTTACATTACTTGGTGTTAATTGCCTCATTTTGTCAGATTAGTTTTATTTATAATGAGTAACTCATTTTTCCTCTTTTGTCAAAATTCTGAGGACATGATCTAGCAGCTTTATTTTGTGGCTGACATATTTTAAAATATAAGGTTCATCTCTCTCTTCTTGATCATTGCCTGTGCGTCATCACGCAGTTTGGTTGTCGACTTAATCTTCTAAGAGTTTATGACTTAGAATCATTTTCTTTTGCTCATTGTTTAAAGTCATTGTCAGATCCTGAAAACATAGCGTGGATGGAGTTTGGTGATGGCCCATCATTAGGGATGGGCCTATCAACAGTCACATAGTTCTCTCTCCAGCCACTGGGAGAGATTAAGTGGCCTTTCTCCCCATAAAGGTCGCCTAACCTAGGTGAATGTGAGGAATCTGAAATGTCTTGCAGAAGAAGTATTGGGAGGAAAGAAGAAGAAAGCAAGCCAGAACTTGAGAGGATGGGTGACAGAGAGGGGAGCACTGAGTTGTATCAGTGAAACTCTTCTCCACACCAAACCGAGTTCTTAAATATGTAAAATTTCATAAAGCACCATTCACAATCTGGCCTCTGTTAACTTAAAAACATTGTTTTTCAATCTCTATAGAACAAATTTAAGCCAAATGACAACAGATTTGCCTTTATTGTTCATCTTTCTCAAAACGCATAGATGCAGTTCTGCAACTGAAGGCTGGAGATTTAGTCCACCAAAAAGCACGGATGTAGAACAGCAAAGAAGAATATCCACATTCGCACCTTACTCAGCAAGACGCTCAAACTTTCTAAAATCCTAAATTCTGAAATGTCATTAAATAGCAGCCTCTCCTGAATATTTTAGTGACCCCAGCAAATAACATTAAGTGAGCTTATTACTTTAAGAAATAAACTACCTGTCTCTCTAGTAAATAAATGCAGTAGCAAGGTGTTAAGTGGAGAAACTAGAAGGTGTCACAGTTCTCAGCTTGCTTTTTTTCCCTATGATTTTTTTAAATTGCTTTTATAGCCTCTTTTTCATATTTTAAATACTGGGAAATAGATGAAAAGAATTGGCACTCAATATAAATCAGAAGACGTAGATTAAGTTATTTCTTTCTTCTTTGAAAAGTCAAGTGATTCATGGTCCCTGCATTTGGAGTTTAGCATGTGCAGGATGCAAACAATTCTGGCAGCTCTGGCTGCAAGAACCTTTTCAAGACATTAAGTGATGCAAGAAACTTGGGGCATTCTCTGGTCCAGCCCGTAAAGGTACGTGGCAGTTTGGAGTCAGACTCTTGGGCCTCGTGTTCTCTTACAGTAAATTAGGTCACGTGCTTCTGATTCAGCAGCACATATAAACAGTGGCACGGTTGAAACGTGCCCCTCTGTAAAGAACAGAATGTATAAAATGTGTGCCACTCTGCTGGAAAGCTGTAATGTTCCTTAAAAGAAATGAGAAAGAGCGGAGTCTAACCGTGATCTTGGTGACATTGAGTCTATTGACTTCATAAAATCACTCCCGGATTACAGCATTTTAACAGGGATTAGAAGCTGTCCCATTCTATATATGTATATTCTATATAGTAGCAGCAATGGCAGTCGCTGCTGTTCTGGAAAGATGTGTTTGGCAGGCAAAAGTGAGCAATATAGCTGCAAAGAACCAACAGATACCTGGAAAAATAATAAAAGCTCACATTTGGATTTGATTTTTTTCAAGGGGTGTTTTTAGGACTAAAATGAAGGATTATGCTACGTAAATATTAGTAGCGTTAAAATAATTTTATTCTTTTTTTCTTCATTTTACCAGTTTTTAAAACAAAAGTGTCCTACTGTGATAACTATTTACTGATAAAATACTACTAGTATAGAAGTAAAAGTCCTTGCTCCAGGAAACTGACAACTCAAATTAGCAAAATGGAATGGACGAAAAATCCTGTGGGATTGTCCACATAGAGATAGAAGTACTTGGGGATCCAGCTTTTGGGTGATTTAATTTTTTGGCAGCCATGCACTAACACTTCATAGATTTCTTAATTGTCTTGTTAGGGATAATAGCCTGTGCATGTTCATGAAGGTTTCAGAAGAAATTAACTATGTCTTTTCTATGTTTTTCTTATCCCCAGTCTTTTCTAAACCTCAGTATGTGTTAATTTGTCAGATCTTTGCATCATGTATTGTTGTTTAATATTATTATTGCTATAGATAATAATTTCCAGTAAAGATCTGGAATCTTTTGTGCAAGAACTAATTGGACACAAAGTTCTTGCAGCTCTCTTTGTGTGGCCTTTTAAAACCAAACTGCTTTACAGTTTTTTCTTTAAACACTGAATCAAACTTCAAAGTATTTAAAACTTGTCAATTGTGCCAATTTAATTAAATTTGCTTACATTTTCTTAAATCTTTTTTTGCAGCGTATTAGTTGTAGAATGTGTAGTTGCTTCAGAGATAGAAAGTATACATGGATTTCTTGTAGTAACAGAATTTGTATTAGATGGCTGGAAAATATTGTTTTAATGTAGGTGTATTATTGAAAGGATTGTTCCCATAGTCTTGCAAGATCTTGTAAAATAGCAGAAAGAAATAGGATGGTCCGTTTGTCTTTCCTGTAGCAGAGGGTGGTTGCCTTTCCCCTTATGTGACATATGAACTGAATTTTGCTTTCTCTTTCCCCTCATCTGTAATGTGATCCTGATTATTGGATCTTTGCCCTTACCCTGGTTCCTTGAAGGAAATTAGTCTTTTGTCTTAGAATCTTCTCTTTTAAAGGCTTTATCAGAGCTCCAGAGTTTTTACTTAGCTCTCTGACAAAACCGTTGTTCCTGCTG